TATACATTGTCGAAAGTAACCAGCACATTGAAACCAAACGGGGTGGTTGGCCCTGTCTGGAGTTGCTGAACTCTTAGCTCACCCAGACAGACGTCCAGGCTACCCGGTCGGCACCACGATGAGGTGGTTCAGCTCGCCGACCAGCTATTTATTCGCTTACTCCACCCGTGTACTTTGGGTCTCCGCTTGTTTTGCTCATTTGTAACCGCCGTTCACCTTCCTGCAGAAGCCTTCCCGTCCGACACTGGTATATTAGAATGTACGTATGTGAATGTGTGCAGCCAACCTACCTACTCATGCGCATTCGTGCCCCATCCGTCATGATTTCCGTGTAATCATACTGCCAATCAGAACCACGGGACAGGCCTCTGAAGCGACGACCGCCACCTACACTACCGAATACATTTGTGCCGAAAAATTCGTGGATGCGTCTGACCTCTATGCAAAAGTTACTCATTGGAACAAGAAACTTATCAAATCAGGCTTTTACAGCTTCACTCCAAGGTGACGCGTTTTCCAGTTACCAACAATTGGTAGGCGAATCACGAAAAGACCAACTGTGCATTATCAACGCAGTTGTTTGAATTTTCCCTTTTAGAATCGATTGAAAACAGACAAATAATGATAAACAAATAATCAAAATTTGCAAACAATAAGAATATGTTTTGTACTAAGCACTACTTCGATTCCCCAGCTAATCCTCGAATGTTTCACTTTCATCGAATAGACAGAAAGGTTAGAATGCACGGAAGAAAGAGCTCTGAGCTTTCATTATTGTGGCTGTGATATTCAACACAACCAAAGAGGCCAGACAGAACTGCAAAATTCACCCCTTACACAAATATTGAACATTGCACACTTCCAAAAACACTTTGAGTACCTCAGCGGCTGCACCACTCCGTGTGTTTTTGACCCAGCAAATATCATTCAGAACTTTGCGTAATAAACTTTGCCGAAAGCTTCCCTGCTTCAAATGTTGCCGAATAAAACTTTTGGTGCTCCAGAGGTGAGGATGTGTAGTTAACCAAATGTCCTACTTTGCCTTGACTGCACGGGCTATTTCAGATTTCAGGGACCACAATTTTGAATAAGTGTTTCGAGGTCATCATCATCATCATCGACAGCATGACATCAGTGTTCAACACTGACGATTCACTGCTGTACAACCATGATTTATTTGACAGCCATATTGTAAAGAAAAGAGTAAAGGTGGACGGGGAAGGGACTTGGTGCTAGCTTACCACAATCATTCCGAGGTACTTACACCTCCAGACATTCAGTCAGGCAATCTGGATAGAAACTGACAAGAACGCCACTGACATCGGTTGGTAGCCATATCGTATAGTGTCTCCAACCAGGCACAGTAAGGATCACGCGGTCCCGATCCTGGAAGGCGAGTAGCACCGACAGCACCCAAGCCTTTCGTGATCTCCTTCATACTCCTCTGCCAAGTGAAGGGTTGGCCACCTCTCTGTTTACGCCACTCTGAGTTGGGCGTGGAAAACAGCACTGTCTTCGGCAAACAATGGTTAGGCATGCGTAACACATGTCCCAACCAACGCAGTTTCTGGGGCTGGACACATTCTTCATTGGAAGTTCCCGTTACACAACCGAAAACGCGCTCTCTAATTGCCTCGTCACGGATTCGCCGACACCAACCCACATGAGCTATGGTTCTGAGACAACGATTATCGAACACCTGAAGACGTCTCAGTTCCGCTGCTCGAATAGGCAAAGTCTCACAGCCATACAACAAAACAGCCCGCACTGTAGCTTGATACACACGTCCCTTCAGATTCAGGGATATACCATTCTGACGCCATAGGTTTCTCAAGTTAGTATACGGTATGGCGTTGTTCTAGCACCTGACTAAGTGTGAAGATTTGGTCAACACAACCCCTATCAGGCCGGAATTCCGCTTACTGCTCTCAAGTCAGTACCTCGCGAGCCACCGTAAGGCGACGAAGCACAATTGACGTTAAAACCGGGTTGAAGCTGATCCCCCTATGGTTACCACGCTCACTATGCGCCCCTTTTTTGAAAACGGGCACTATCACCGATTCTCCCCGGTTGTCTGGGATAGACTCCCTTTCCCAAATGCAAGCAAACAGATCGGATAAGCACTGACTGAGGATTTCACCCACGTCTTCGAACAGTGCGGGTGGAAGGTCATCCGGACCGGGAGCGCGGTGGCCCTTGAGAGAACACAGGCAGTCGTAAACCTCCGAGGCCGTAGGTGGTTCCACATTCACCGTCCAGGGTTCTACTTCACCTGTGGGCTCTA